CGGAAGGAGCGGGGCCCGAAAATGAGGCCGGCGCCTCAGCGAGAGCAGCATTTTGAAAAAAATGCAGGCGAAAACCCAACTCCCGGGAATCCTGTGTAAAAAAGCAGGACGCGGGGGGGGGGTCGGTTACTCCCAGCACGCCATCAGGGGAAGAGGGAGAGTAGTTTTCATATTGAGTAATTGTGGAGGGAGGAGGAGGAGGAGGAGGAGGAGGAGGAGGAGGAGGAGGAGGAGGAGGAGGTCGCCCTGAAGAGAGCGGGTCCTGAGGGAGGCGGGCCCCGAGTTCCTTCGCCGCGCCCTCGGCCCCGAAGGGGCCCTGTGCCGCCCGAGGGCTGTCGGAGAACGACTCGGGATGTGTACGGCCAAGACGCTGAAGTGAGGATTTGGGTCGTTTCTTAGATTTCTGTCGCGGGCTTTTCGGAGGTGGATCGACCTCCTACCCTGACACGTCGATTAGTGAATTGGCCGTTTTCGGTTCGCGAGAGGGCGTCGCGGCCGTCATTTTGCAGGTCCGGGTCCGTCGGTTTCGGTCCTAGGCCGTTGTCACTAAAGGCTGGTTTACTAAAGGGAGGTTTGTCCACCGCCGAGCCTTGCTTGTGGCCCAGGCCCACCGTGGCCAGAAAAGTCCCTTTTGTGCCTTACTTGGCGTTCTTTCCGGTAGTACCTCGACTGTACCAGCGTGGACCCCAAGCGGTACGTCATGGCTGAGCCTCCATGCGATGCACCAGCGTCTCTGCGGTCGTGCTTCGAAGAGCAGCCATGCAACTTTGGTTGGGCGACGAAATCTATGCATATCCACTGCTGCTGGCCAGGCTCATCCGGGGCCCAGGAGTAGTGTATACGACCTCCTGGTTTGGCCAAAGAGGCGTAAACAGTATTCCTGGCCCCAGGATGGGCCTGGCTTGCAGCAGTGGATATGTATAAATCTCGTCGCCCTATTTGGAACACCCCCACTGCAGGCAGCGGCTGGCAACTGGCGCCGACGGGCCGGAGCACGGCGCATCTTCGGGGCACCCCCGCGGGCGGCGACGGGCGGCAACGCAGGCGGCAGAGGGCGGCAACGGGGCGGCAACCAGGCAGAGCGTGGCGAAGGCCCCAGGGCCCAAGGGTTTTCCCCCCTTCGACCGCCGCGGGGCGCGCAGGGGGCAGCGCGGCACGGGCAGGGCTGCGGCGTCGCGTGGAGCCGTTGAGAAGGTCTGGGCGTGCGTCTCGAGGGGGGGCGTCCCGGGGAGGGGGGTGTGAGGGGGAAACCCGAGGGCGGGGGAGGGGGGGGGGAATGTGTTTGGGGCGTCTCGAGGGGGCTCCAGGGGCGCTCCGGGGGGGGGGTCTCGCCTGGGAAGCCCTCGGGTCCCCCCCTTGATGGGCAGCAGCCCTTCCAAAGTCATCACCGTCATCAGCATCAGCACCATCACCACCACCATCACCATCAGGGCCTACGGCCTGTCCTGTCTGTGCAAAAAGGTCTTCGGGGCCATCAGCTTCTGGACCATGCCCGGCACATAAGCGCCGATAGGCGATCATCGCACAACGACGTGCTGTTCCGTTCTTTGCGTCTTGCGGGCTCGAGGCGCTTCGCTGGCCAGGCTCTCCTCGGGTGTGCACTCCGGGCCGGCCGGGCCGAGCGGCCGCCATGCCGGCCCGCCACCGTGAGCTCCTGAAGCAGCTGGCCGAGGAGCACGAGCGGCTGCTGCAGGATCGGGAGGGGGCCGAAGGCCCGGGTGCGCCGGAGCACGTGCGTGCCCCTCGGGGCGGGCTGAGGGTCCGAGGTTTCCCAGCACCGGTCCCTACCAGCAGGAGCGTCGACTAGACGTAAGAGTGACCTTTCGCAGAAGTGACCTTTGGTGCGGGCACAAATGGGTCCCCAGATGGCTGAAAACGGAGCAGTAGCAGCGGGTTGCGCCCCCAGATTTGGTCCCCCCGCGGCACCCAGAAAGCCGCGCACCAAAGGTCACTCTTACCCAGGGTGACTCTTGCGTATAGCCGAGAGCGGATGGCGCGGTCCGAGGTTCTTGGCTCTCGAGGAGGGTTTTTCCCCACATGTTTCGTGGGGTTATGGTTTTCTTCCTTGCCGCGCCGCACCCGCGACACTCACACCTCACCTCCCTCTCCTTCTCACACAGCGCAGCACAGCACAGCACAGCACAGCATCAGCACAGCTCAACGCAGCACAGCACAGCACAGCACAGCACTGCACAGCATAGCACAGCTCAACGCAGCACAGCACAGCACAGCACAGCGCAGCACAGCACAGTACAGCACAGCTCGGCACAGCTCAGCTCAGCTCGGCACCGCACAGCACATCACAGCACAGCTCAGCACAGCATAGCACACAGGGCAGGCGCGCAGGGCACGGCACGGCAGAGCGTGGCAGGGGTGGCATTTTCTCGACACCAGAGAGGGTGCGCAGGGGGTGGTCCCTCAGCGCGGTCTCTATGCGTGCCAAGGTCGGAGAGCGTGGCAGGGGTGGCACTTTCTCGACACCAGAGAGGGTGCACATCCTCGACACTACAGGGGGCGCGCTGGAGGTGGGGTCGCTATCTGTTTCGGGCTCGCAAAGCGTGGCAGGCGTGGCACATTCTCGACACCACAGGGGGCGCGCTGGGGGTGGTCGCTATCCGTTTCGTGGCAGGCGTGGCACATCCTCGACACCACAGGGGGGGCGCGCTGGGGGTGGGGTCGCTATCCGTTTCGGGCTCGCAAAGCGTGGCAGGCGTGGCACATCCTCGACACCACAGGGGGCGCGCTGGGGGTGCGGTCGCTATCCGTTTCGGGCTCGCAAAGCGTGGCAGGCGTGGCACATCCTCGACACCACAGGGGGCGCGCTGGGGGTGGGGTCGTTATCCGTTTCGGGCTCGCAAAGCGTGGCAGGCGTGGCACATCCTCGACACCACAGGGGGCGCGCTCGGGGTGGGGTCGCTACCCGTGTCGGGCTCGCAAAGCGTGGCAGGCGTGGCACACCCTCCACACCACAGGGGGCGCGCTGGGGGTGGGGTCGCTATCCGCTTCGGGCCCGCAAAGCGTGGCAAGCGTGGCACATCCTCGACACCACAGGGGGCGCGCTCGGGGTGGGGTCGCTATCCGTTTCGGGCTCGCAAAGCGTGGCAGGCGTGGCACATCCTCGACACCACAGGGGGGCGCGCTGGGGGTGGGGTCGCTATCCGTTCCCGGCTCGCAAAGCGTGGCAGGCGTGGCACACCCTCGACACCACAGGGGGCGCGCCTGGGGTGGGGTCGCTATCCGTTTCGGGCTCGCAACGCGCGGCAGGCGTCGCACATCCTCGACACCGCAAGGGGGCGCGCTGGGGGTGGGGTCGCCATCCGTTTCGGACTCGCATAGCGTGGCAAGCGTGGCACATCCTCGACTACAGGTGGGCGCGCTGGGGGTGGGGTCGTTATCCGTTCCGGGCTCGCAAAGCGCGGCAGGCGTGGCACATCCTCGACACCACAGGGGGCGCGCTGGGGTGGTCGCTACCGTGTTTCGGGCTCGCAAAAGCGTGACAGGCGCTATCCGTTTCGGCTCGCAAAGCGTGGCAGGCGTGCACATCCTCGCCACCGCAGGGGGCGCGCTGGGGTGGGGTCGCTATTCGTTTCGGGCTCGCAAAGCGTGGCAGGCGTGGCACATCCGCGACACACATGGGGCGCGCTGGGGGTGGTCGCTATCCGTTTCGGGCTCACAAAGCTCGACACCACAGGGGGCGCGCTGGGGGTGCGGTCGCTATCCGTTTCGGGCTCGCAAAGCGTGGCAGGCGTGGCACATCCTCGACGCCACAGGGGGCGCGCTGGAGGTGGGGTCGCTATCCGTTTCGGGCTCGCAAAGCGTGGCAGGCGTGGCACATCCTCGACATCCACAGGGGCGCGCTGGGGGTGGGGTCGCTATCCGTTTCGGGCTCGCAAAGCGTGGCAGGCGTGGCACATCCTCGACACCACAGGGGGCGCGCTGGGGGTGGGGTCGCTATCCGTTTCGGGCTCGCAAAGCGTGGCAGGCGTGGCACATCCTCGACACCACAGGGGGCGCGCTGGGGGTGGTCGCTATCCGTTTCGGGCTCGCAAAGCGTGGCAGGCGTGGCACATCCTCGACACCACAGGGGGCGCGCTGGGGGTGGGGTCGCTATCCGTTTCGGGCTCGCAAAGCGTGGCAGGCATGGCACATCCTCGACACCACAGGGGGCGTGCTGGGGGTGGTCGCTATCCGTTCGGGCCAAGCGCATCACACAGGTGCTCGCTGCTTGGACGGACTTCAGACGCATGAGCCTCGGTGACCACCCCGAACTTTTTCCCGATGAAGGATGGAAGGCGGGGAAGAGCGAGGATGTTCAATCAGTAGTGTGATGGATGACAATATTGGGAAACATTCGCGACGAGGATTTAGAACGCAGGATTGCGCATATATGATAATGAAAAGCAAACACATGAGATTTAGATTAAGTATGTGGGGTTCCTCGGTAGCGTAATTTGTTGTTGTTGTGTTGTTTGCCTTTTTGCGGCCTGCGCGGGCCGTTGTCGGGCCCTGGGGCCGTCGAGATGGATCTGGGGTAGAAGACTGCGCCCTGGGGAGGATCCAGGGTAGAGCAGGTTTGGCTGCACCCCCCCTCTGGACCGATTGGCACATCCAATCCAACCCAGACCCCCCAGCCGCCTCCAATTCGTCGACGTTCTTGTGACGGGCAGGCCTGGAAGTTTGGAAGTCCAGTCTTCGTGCGATGTCTGCAGTGGGAGCTCCCGTCAGATTTCAGTCTGGGTCTCGTCATGTTCCTGACGCCACCGTCAGTCCCGTCGTCGTTGTCGTCGTCGTCATCGTCGTCGTCATCATCGTCGTTGTTTTTGCCGTCTTCGTGGTGGTGGTGGTGGTGGTGGTGGTGGTGGTGATGGTCGTCGTCGTCGTCGTCCTCGTCCTCGTCCTCGTCCTCGTCCTCGTCGTCGTCGTCGTCGTCGTCGTCGTCGTCGTCGTCGTCCGACGTCTCCCGAGTCCCCGGCACCCGAGTCTTACGCCTCCCCGAGCAGGAGCTCGAGGGGCTCCGGGCGCAGCTGCCGCGCGCGCCGCTGGCGGCCTGCGCCCAGGAAGTTGGAAGAGAAGCAACAGCACACATCGGCGGCGAAATCCAGGCCCTACCCTCGCCGATCAACCATTCGGGCAATTCCATGGACGGCGGGGGTGGGATTTGGAGTTCGTCGGACACGTGGCGAAATGTACGAACCCCGCCCCCGCCCCCCATCAATTCGGGATAATCGATGGTTGGTTGGGAGAAGGTTTGGATGTCGCCACCTAGTGAACATACACTCTCGGAACTCCGCGCGGATTTCTTGGATCGGCGCTGCCCCCCCACCCCCCCTGGCGTCGCTTCTGGCGCCGCTTCGGGCGCGCTCCGCGCGACAGGGACGGGGCTGCGGTGGTCCAGGGGAGATCCGAGAAACCCGCGCGGAGCTCCGACAGGTTAGTTCATTGCTTGATTCCCGTCTGGCTCCACGAAGGACGACGTCGATCTCGGCTCGGCCTCAGGGCCGCCCCTGGTGTGCATCATCGTCCTTAGTGGGCCCCAGAAACGGCAGGGCCGTTTTTTCACCGTTTCCAAAAAAGTGTCCCTTGAAAATGGGAACGGCAAAAAAACGGCGACCGGAAACGGCAAACAATCGGCTCCAGGATTGGAACCGGAGCCGGAACTGGTAAAAAAACGGCGACGGAACCGGCAAACGAAGGCGTCGGATCCGGCAGAAAAACGGCAAAACGGAACCGGTAAAAAAACGGCCCTGGCGTTTCCAGGGCCCACTAAGTCATCGTCTAACCAACACATCCGCACCCCCACTCGGCCATGGCATCTCAGAGGGGGACGAGATGAGGCCGCGGCAGGACAGCAGCAGTTGGCATCCGGGGGGGCCCCGCGTCGCCACGGCCGAACGCAGCACCGAGAAGTAGTGCGCTTGGACCCTCGGGGTTTTCGGGCAGGTTTTTAGCTGCCAGAGTCTCGGCAGGAGGAGGAGGAAGGAGGAAGGAGGAAGGAGGAAGATGATGATGATGATGATGCTGATGATGGTGCTGACGATGATGATGTTGCTTGCGATGATGATGATGATGATGATGACGATGATGATGATGATGATGCTGATGATGATGATGATGATGATGCTGATGATGATGATGATGATGATGATGATGATGATGCTGCTGGCGATGATGATGATGATGTTGCTGGCGATGATGGTAATGACGATATGATGATGCTGATCATAAAGATGATGATGATGATGGTGATGATGATAATGATGGTGATGATGATGATGATGATGATGCTTATGATGATGATTGTGATGGTGCTGATGATGGTGATGGTGATGGTGATGATGATGATGATGATGACGCTGATGCTGATGAGGATGATGATGATGACGCTGACGAGCATGATGATGATGAAGATGACGATGATGATGCTGATGATGATGCTGATGCTGATGATGCTGATGATGATGATGTTGCTGGTGATGATGGTGATGATGATGCTGTTCATAAAGATAACGATGATGATGATGGTGGTGATGGTGATGATGATGATGATGATTATGCTGATGATGCTTATGATGATGATGGTGATGATGGTGATGATGGTGATGGTGATGGTGATGATGATGATGATGACGCTGATGATGATGATGATGATGATGGTGATGCTGATGATCATGCTGATGATGATGAATATGACGAGTATGATGATGATGATGATGAGTATGATGATGATGACGATGATGATGATGATGATGCTGTTGATGATGATGTCGTTGATGATGATGAAAATGATGGTGATGGCGGTGATAATGGCGATGATGTTGATGATGATGATGTTGCTGCTGATGATGCTGCTGCTGCTGCTGATGATGATGATGATGCCGATGCTCATGATGTTGATGATGATGCTGATGATGGTGATGATAATGATGAGGATGATGATGATGATACTGATGATGATGATGCTGATGATGCTGCTGCTGCTACTGATGATGGTGATGATGATGATGATGATGATGATGATGATGATGATGATGATGATGATGATGTGGATGATGCTGATGATGATGATGATGCTGCTGATGATGATGGTGAGGAGGAGGAGGAGGAGGAGGAGGAGGAGGAGGAGGATGCTGATGATGCTGCTGATGATGAGGAGGAGGAGGAGGAGAGGAGTGGAGGAGGAGGAGACAGAGGAGGCGGACGAGGAGGAGGAGCAGGCAGGAGGAGAAGGAGGAGGCGGGGAGGGCGGAGGAGGAGAGCGGAGGAGGAGGATAGGAGGAAGGAAGAGGAGGGAGGAGGAGGAGGAGGAGGAGGAGGAAGGAGGAGGAGGAGGAGGTTGAGATTAGGGAGAAGGGGGGGGAGGATGAGGGGAGGAGATGGGAGGAGAGGAGGAGAGGAGGTGGAGGAGGAGACGATGCGGAGGAGGAGGAGGAGGAGGAGAACGAGGAGGGGGGGGGGGAGGAGGAGGAGGAAGGGAGGAGGAGGAGGATGAGGAGGAGGAGGAGGAGGAGTGAGGATGAGGAGGAGGAGAGGAGGAGGAGGGGGAAAGAGGAGTGGGAATGAGCATGCAGTATGATATGAGGATGATGATGAATGGTGGTGGTGGTGGTGATGATGATGATGATGATGAATGGTGATGATGATGATGATGATGATGATGATTATGAATGATGATGATGATGATGATGATGATGATGATGATGATGATGATGATGATGATGATGATGAATGATGATGATGATGATGATGATGATGATGATGCGGCTGCTGATGATGATGACGAGCAGAGGATGAGGAGGAGGAGGAGGAGGAAGGAGGAGGAGGAGGAGGGAGGAGGAGGAGGAAGGAGGAGGAGGAGGAGGAGGAAGGAAGGAGAGGACACGGGAGGGCGGGGGGGGAGGGAGGATCGGTTAAACGATGCCCAGATGCGCAAGAGCCCCCGCGCTTCGGCCAGCTCCCAGGTGGTGGCCAGCGGCGCCCCCAAGACGCTGGACGGCCCCCAGAGGTCGGTCAGCCCGTCAGGCAGCTACCAACTGCCCGCCCACACGCTGGCTGGCGACAGGCGCGGGGCCAAGGCCGTGGTCCTGGATGACGGCGAGGACGAGGGCTCCGACTTGGCTCTGTGCTCGGCGTGGGCGACCCCCCCGCCGGACGACCCCCCGCCCGACGACGTCCTCAAGGACCCGAAGAAGAAACAGCGGCGCCAACGTGCGGTCGGGAGCTTCTGGACGGAGCGTCGCTCCCCCCCGATTCTGGTGGGAGGCCACATGCGAACCCTGCCCCTCCCCCTCAGAAGTCGTGGGGGGCAGGGGCAGGGTCCGCATGTGGCCCTCCATCTGGCCCGCCACGCTTCCGGAGCGACGCGCGGGCCACCTCCCGGCCCCCCGGCGCCCGCGCCTCGACAAGTTCCGCTCCCCCCGCCCCGCGGAGCTCGGGGGCGGCAAAGGGGGGGGGTGACGACTGGAGGCAAGGGCGCCCTCGAGGGCGCGAAGTGATTCGCGCTTCGCGCTTCGCGCTGCGGCTCCGCTTCCTCCTCATCCTCCTCTCCTTCCCTGGGGGGCGGCGCGAGAGCGCGAAGTCATTCGCACTTCGCGCTCTCGCGCAGCGCGAAGCGCGAAGTTGGGAGCCCTTGTGGAGGGGGGTGGATATCATGGCGGGGGCCGGGTGGATATCATGGCGGGGGCCCCGGTTCGTTTTCTCGTTTTCTCGGCCCCCCTCGGTTGTTGTCTCGTTTTCTCGGCCCCTGGTTCGTTGTCTAGTTTTCTAGCTTTCTCGGCCATGATATGTCCTACGATTTCATGGCGCCTCTTCTGATTTCATTGCGTCCGTGGGCCGCGCACGTGCCGCCGGCCGTGGTTTGCGGCCCCCCCTCTTGGACGCCCCCGAGGAGCGGAGCGACACGCCTGCCCACGGGGAGTGGCGTGCGTCGCCGGGGCCGAGCCGCCACACGCTGAGCAAGAGCTCTCGGCCGTAAGCTTTCGGAGGTCCGCGCGGATTCCTGGGATGAGGAGGGGGCAACACACAAACACAAAGAATCTTCAGTCGGGCGTGTCCCTCTACAGGAGGAGAATCCAAAAATAGTTCAAAAACAGTATGGGGATTATTGTTCGACCATCCTTTGATGTTTGTTGATTATTTTGGGGTATTTTGGATTTTCCGTCCAACATCAGCCCGACCTACAAATAATCGCCGATTCCCCGAAAAATCTGGGAACATATGGCAAGTAGGGGGAAGACGAAATTCCAGAACATATGGTAAAGTACAAGGGGGATCCTGGGAGTTGTGTCTATTTGTCTGTGTGTCTCTGGGTCCCTTCACTGGATCGGGGCGCGCTGAGCGCGGCAGGGGCGGCGCCAGAGGCGCATGTCGAGGGGGGCCAGCGCCGATCCAACAAGGCTGCGCGGGCCTCCGAGAGTTGTTACCTTAGACGTTGCTCGTTCCTCGGATCCAGCATTGGCGAGGCGTCCTGACGTGTCACCACCCACCAAACCATCCCAACCCAACCCGAAGCCCTCAATTTGCCCTCCATTTCTGGGGGGGGTCGGGGAACATTGAAAAAACACGTGGAACCCGTACCCCCCCCCAACCCGAACTTCGGGTCAGATTCGGGTCTTCGGGTTGGGTTGGGGTGGTCTGGTAGGTAGTCAACTTGACTGTGGGGCCTCCAGGGAATGTTCGAATGCACATGGGCGGCGCAAATGAACGGGGTCGTCTGCGCTGGCAGCGGCGCGTCAGCTGCCCGTGTGAGGTCGCGCGTAAGCGCCCTCGCTTCCGATGTGGCGTGCTGCACCGGCGGCCCCTGTAAGCCACTGCGTAAGGTCGCTAGGCCATCTCGCGTAAGACCCGTTGTTGTTCGTCGCCCACGTGTGTTTGCTTGCGCGGAATGGCTTGGAACATCTTTGGCTGAGCTAGTTTTGTTTCGTCGTTCTGTTCTAGGTCCTTAGGGCGTTTGTCTGTTCTTAGACAGTCCTCCACTTCGAAGAACACTTCGTGGTAGGGCCATCGGAAATCCTGGCCAGTCGGTCCTCCTCCTCCTCCTTCTCCTCCTCCTTCTCCGCCTCCCCTCCTCCTCCTCCTCCTCTTCCCCCTCCTCCCCCTCCTCCTCCTCCTCTCTCCTCCTCGTCCTCATCCTCCTCCTCCTTCTCCTCCTCCTCCTCCTCCTCCTCCTCCTCCTCCTCCTCCTCCTCCTCCTCCTCCTCCTCCTCCCCCTCTTCCTCTAAGGGGACTCCGAGTGGGTTCAGCGGACGGAGCAGGATGCAGCGCTATGCCACCAGGATCTACGAGGCCGTGCGGGCGAGCGCCGCCCGGACGGAGAGCGTGCCGAGCAACGCCAGTTCTTGTTTGCAGTCGTGCGTTATGTCGCCCACTTCGATGAAGCGGCAGGCTTCCGAGGACAAAGAAAAGGACAGTGTAATTAACGCTACCTCCACTCTTCCCTCGTGCTCGCCTTTTTGGACATCCTGGGAGGCCCTCGGGTCAGAACGCTCCCCAGGAGAGGTCCAGGGACTAGCGGTATCATTAACCTTCTGTTCCCCCCAAGAGCATTATGCCATGGGAGTTCCCTATAGATTCTTTACATGAGGATGATCAGGCTTCGCGAGCTCAACGCGGCATACAAGTAGCAATATGAACGGGATGTTCATGACATTGATATCCACGTTGGGAATGGCAGAAGAAGGGAGGAAGGGGGGGAGGAAATAGCATGACGGACAACCATAGATCTTGAGGACGTATCGTTGCTCTTTCTTGGAACTCTACCATTAGGTTCCAAGAGGGTAGCTCTCTGAGATTTTCGAGCAAGCGGCCGGCTTTCGAAGAAAACGAAGAAGGCACTAACACAAGTTTCGGAGCTCCGCTCGGATTTCTTGGATCTGCGCTGGGCCACCCCTTGGCAGCGCTTCCGGCGTCCCCCCTGAGGCGCTCCGCGCCCCAGGGAGGGAGGCCCAGCGCCAATCCAAGAAATCTGCGCGGACATCCGAACAGTTAATGCGAATGCAGGTATTGTGTTCCTCGAGGCTTGGGATCTGCTCTGTATGGTAGTACTGGCTTATGACGTATGTGTGCTGCCATTATTTGTGTTCAGGGACGAAGATTCCCTGACCGTTCAGTTTCTTTACATTTGCACGACGTTAGTATGGACGCTTGACGTATTCATGAGCTTCTTCACTGGATACTACGATGTAGGCAACGTTGAGATGAGCATTTCAAAGATAGCTTGGCGCTATGTCAGGACCTGGTTTATGCTTGATTTCCCAGTGCTGTTGATCGATTGGTTCACAACTCTACTCCTCCCGCTTTCCGTTGCCCAGCTCCTGAGCATCGCCCGGGTCTCAAAAATATTCCGCCTTGTCCGATGTTTGCGTATGTTACGGTTGGTGCGGTTGCTCAAGTTCCGCAGTGGCAATACCACTGCATTCGACAGCTACCTCCGCTCGGAGTCTTTGGTTACCTTCTGGACCGTCCTCAGGTCATTAGGGTACATATTAGCCATCAGTCATTACATTGCGTGTGGATGGTATTTCATTGGTGGGCAGCAGCGGCCGTTTACATGGGTGCAGATCCTAGACGACGAGGACAGAGATGTGTACTACCGATACATCACGGCCTTGCATTGGAGTGTCCAGTTGCCTGCGGCAAGTCCCATCACTGTGCCAGCCCAGCGTTCTAGCCGTCTTGGTGTCGGCTATTCGAGGTTGCATGGGAGGCCGTCACGAGTGACACATCGGGCCTGTTGACACTGCTCTGGGGGCCTCTTGGGTGCCTCTGGGGGGGCTCTTGGGGTCTTCTGAGGGCCTCTTGGCAGCGTCTCGGGGACGCCTCGGAGGCTCTTGGGGGCTCCTTTGGCCGTCTGAGGGCGCTCTTAGACCGTCTGAGGGCGCTTTCGGAGTCCTCTTGGGGAGGAGGAGGAGGAGGAGGAGGAGAAGGAGGAGGAGGAGGAGGAGGAGCAGGAGGAGGAGGAGGAGGAGGAGGAGGAGGAGGAGGAGGAGAAGGGGGAGCTCGCTGGGGCATTTTGGGGTCCCATTGGGGACCTTCAGGGCCCCCGACGCGGGCTGACGCGGGTCCTCCTGGACCTATGGCTCTCTTGCGCCGTCTTAGAGCTCTCTTGGGCCGTCTTGGGGCCCTCTTGAGACCATCGTCGGCTGTCCTGAAGCCCTCTTGGGGGCCATCCGGAGGCCATCCTGAGGCTGACGGGAGCCAGAAAAAAGGTTGCAACGCGATTTTCTGTCAACAGCCGAGGGAAATCACGATCGAAGTGTGGCCGCGTCAGGCCTTGCTAGAGGTTCTCCTGGAGCTCACCTGGGCAGCCTGAGTGGCCTCTTGGACCGTCGTGAGTAAATTGTTACCTCGTACTCATATTTCTCTTCTAGGGGCCTCGAGAGATCTGAAGGCCCCACAGTTGCACTGATAAGTATATAGAGCCCAGACGTCGACGTACTGGCTCAAGACGCGTCACGGACTGAGTGTTCGAGACTGAAGGGGAGTTCGGCACATTCCTTTGCATC